CTGGTAAACAACTGCTTTGGAGAAGGAAACAGAGTGACTACAAGGTAGGGATTACCAAGAAATTCACTTTATACTATGTACTACGTACCTGTTATGTGTAATACACACAAATTAAAAATTTAAAAGTTAAAATTAAATCTTTCCTGTGTCTTTGATTCTGGAACCAGACACACCTGGTTTCAAAATTATTTCCATCCTATAGTATCTATGTGCAACAGGCAAATTATTCAATTTTCTCCAATTGCATTTTCTTTAACAATGATACTATGTTGTAGCATGCAGTTGTGATTTTTCAATAACATAAGGTACCTAAGTTCCTGGCATAGTATTTGGCAGAGTCCCATGTAACAAATTTTATTAGACTCTTCTTCACTTTTCTTCCATTGAATTGCCTCATTTTCTAAACTCTGAGATAGACCAAGACAAAGGAGTATAAACTATTCATTCATAAAGAGAATAAGTCTTAAAACTTTTAGTGGATAGTTCACTTTAGCATGACCCCATGGGAATCTATAGGTTTTTTGTTTGTTTGTTTATGTGATTTTATAATATATGCTCCTAAATAAATTAAATGTAGACTAGACAAGCCTATTAAAATGGCATATATGAAACCGAAAGAGAACATTTAATGGTTCCCAGACTCTGCCTAAACATGTTTGGTAAAGCTAATTTTAGAATAGGAGATAAATTTTCTACATTTAAATTTGAATCAAATTGATACCTGAGAATGTGGATTTTAAATATACTGTTAAATGTTGATAGAACTTTTGAAACTTTGACATTTTATGATAATGAGATCATGTTATTTACATCCAAAATTCAATGATCTTTCATATGCAGATTTTAAAATTTCATTTTACCAAATGACCTCTAGTCTAATTTGCTTTCGTAGAACCCAAACAGCCCAGACCCTGTATAATATAAATAAAAAGTTTTCAAGAGAAGGTAGTGAGGATTTGTGGGAGCAAAAGCCAGAGACAGCCCTGTGATCTTAGCTGTACCAGTCCGAAGTGGCAACTCTGCCTGCTTGAGCTGGGAGTGAGGTCTTATTTAAATGCCATAGAATCTCATTGCTCCTAACAAATCTTAGTAAATTTTCCAAAGAAATGTGTCTACATTTGCTATTTATATTTCAGACAATTTCTAGAGAATGACTGATATATCAGAATTTCACTAGAGAGCAGTCTCTGGAGCTTTTCCTACTATAATGCTGGAAGCATGCAATTCTTTTTATTTCATATATATCTTATAGACATAGCCTGACAGTAATTTTAGGCACTATTTTAAAATAATTTTGTACATCTGACAGTGACCCATCACAAGAGATCAGGGATGGAATTTTCTCCTTGTGGTGTGTTGAAGCTCAAAGAGTTTTTGACTTTAGTTGGGCATGGTGGTACATATCTACAATTCTAGTGGCTAGGGAGGCTGAGGCAGGAAGACCACAAGTTCAAAGTCAGGCTCAGCAATTTAGTGAGATCCTGTCTCAAAATAAAAAATAAAAAGGACTGGGATGTGGCTCAGTGGTTAAGTCCCCCTGGGTTCAAACCCTACTACCAAAAAAGTTTTAGACTTTGAAGAATTTCAAATTTCAGATTAGGAATGCTCAACCTGACATATGTTAGATCTTTAACCATCTTCCATTTCAATTACTTCTCCCTGATAAATTTATTCTCTCTTTTTCTTGCTTTCCAGCAATAAAGTATTAAATTTTATTTTATTCTACCTCTTCTTGGGTACCTCATAAAATTTTATTCTTCATTTCTAATATGATTTTCTTTTTGTTCTATTTTTTCAATTCAACTAATTCCCATTATATATCTTGTTTCTCATCCCATTACTATTCTTTGAGTTTCTCAAAGTGTTTTTATCCCTAATCTCAAATGCATGCTCAATAATATTTAATTCAGGGAGAGTACTGTGCTGCAGTATTATTTTTTTTCCAGTTCTGTTCTCTATTTAGAAGTTTCCTATACAGATACGAAAGTCTTTTGTTTATTGCTTCTTTTGTGGGTTTACTTCTGCAGTGGAGAAGTGAAGGGGAAGTTACTCCTTGGTTCTCTTACATCTTGCAGGATCCTTAATTTATTTCACTCCTTGTTTTCCTCCACTGCCCTTCTTTTAAGGGGAGCTGCCTCTTCTTCAACAAATCTGATTCTCCCTCAGAAGCAATGAGTCTTAGAGGCTGCCACTTTAGGTCCCACTGTCTTTAAAATTATTTTCCTTTATTTTGTGTTGTGAACTTCTTTGTCAGACTTGTGTTTAGTATTTTGGTATTTAGTATTAGGCTCTCTCTTTCTAGGGATGACTAGCTTATGTTTCTGAGAAGTTCATGCCTCTCTACTCTTAAGCCTTCTCTCTTCACCCTTAGTACCCATAGTGGGAGGATGGAAGGAAATCTTGTGGGATTTGTTTCTCTACTTACAACAATTGGGAACTTACTTTTCTTATTTTAAACTTATTTTTCTCTGACTCCCAGATATGTGAAATAGATGAGTAGTATATGGTTTATTTCTCCTGCTTGGTGACTTGATGACTGGTTTTGAAAGTGAAGGAAATCAAGTAACTGCCATGAATTGCCAAAAGAACTTTTATAAGAAGACTTTTTACATAGTCTCTTTTTGTTGGACACACAACTGTGACTTTTTCATTTTCTTCTTCATTTTTGTCAATACTCTCAGATTTTGATAGTTGTGTTTTTCTGTCTTGATTTGCTGACTTCATACATACTGGCATGATATTATTCTTAATATCCTGCTACTATATTTCATGTAGAATTAAGAGTGGTACATAAGACATCATCGTTCTAGTTGCTGGCAATATGTGCCTCCTCTTTTCTTTCTTGATCTGTCTTTTCAGAAATATGCCAGTTTTAAAAATACTGAGATTCTTGATATACATTTTCCATCAAAAGGTGATGACTACACTCCCTCTCTAGACTCTTTGAGGGCTATCAATGTGACACTCTGTGAATTCTAAGGCTAGGTCATAAAAAGTCTTACAGCTTTCTACTGGTTCTCTAGGATTGCTATTATACAAAGAGAAGCCAATTGCCAAGTAAGAAACCTGCTTACCTTGAGATTATTATCTTGAAAAAATGGCAAAGAGAAACACTAAATTACAAGCATGAAGGCAATTAAAACACAAATATACTTATTACATCAATCACAAACCCTCTTACTGGTTTATCCTGAGGTCAATGCCTCCCCTTTGACGTTGGCAATTATACGTCATTTCAAAATACTTACTGATAGACAGATGGTTTAAAGGGTGAATAGTTCAAGTAAGAAATGTTACACAAGGAAAATACAGAAATATACATATAATAGATTAGGCTGTATAGTGAACACTTCATATACCCATGTGTCAATAAGTGCTTTAAGTAATATGTTTATAGTCTGTTTCCTACCCCAATTTCACATTAAGAAAGGGGGCAATACAATGCTAAAATATTCCTATTTCTGCAATGCACAAGAAACATATTATATTCCTATCCATTTAAAGTAAACATCTCTAAGAGCCTGAATGTTATAATATACAAACACAATAAGAAGACCAAAAAGAAAGAAACAAAATAAAAAACTATGAATTAGGGACTAGGACAATTCAGAAAATACCAGCACCTACAATAATGCTTGGAACCAATAGGTCTTCAAATAATATTTATTAGATGAATGTACATGAATCAGTTGATTTCAAATATCTTATCAGCATAGACCAGTTTCTGGCCTAAGTCATAAGCATGACACACAGTAAAAAGATACCCAACTATTATTTATATCCTTCCAAATGTTGGTCCTCAAAAACTACATTCACTCCCTTGAAAATAGTTTATTTCCTCTTTCAGAGTAAGATATTTCAAACCCAATCAATAAGTGGGCAAAGGAACTGAACAGGTACTTCAGAGAAAAAGAAATACAAATGGTCAAATATATATGAAAATTGTTAACACCTCTAGCAATTAGAGAAATACAAATTAAAAATACACTGAGATTTCATCTCATTCCAGTCAAAACAGCAATTATCAAGAATATAAGTAACAATAAATGTTTTCAAGGATGTGGAGAAAAGGTATGCTCATACATTGCAGGTGGGACTACAAATTGGTGAGATCACTCTGGAAAGCAATATGGAGTTTCCTCAAAAAACTAGGAATGGAACCATTTGACCCAGTTATCTCACTCCTCACTATATATCCAAAGGATTTAAAATCAGTGTACTGTAGTGACAGCCACATCAACATTTACAGCAGATCAATTCACAACAGCTAAGTTTTGGAGCCAACCTAGGTACCCTTCAACAGATGAATGGATAAAGAAAATGTAGTATATATACACAATGGAGTATTGCTCAGCATAAATACGAATGACTATGACAATTGCAATAAATGGATGGATCTAGAGACAATCATGCTAAGCAGAATAAAGCAGTCCCAAAAAGCCAAAGTTCGAATGTTTTCTCTAATAAGTGGATGCTAACCCACAATAAGGGGGTTGGGGAGGAGAAGAACAGAAGTTCTATAGATTAGCCAATGGAGAATGAAGGGTAGGGAGTGGAGAGAGGAAAAGGAAAGCAGAATGAATCAGACATCATTTTCCTATGTACATGTATGAAAACATCAGTGAATCCTACTATCATGTACATCCACAAGAATGGGGTCCTAACTAGAATAAGATACATTCCATGCTTATTTAATTATATCAAAATGTACTCCACTATCATGTATAACTAAAAATAATAAATAAATGGGTAAGTAAAATATTGCAAATAAACCCAAATAATTGAAGTAAAAAAAGAAAAAGATACTTCAAAAAGTGAATAGAGTCACCTGGCATAACAACTCTATTAGGGAAAAAGGAAACTGGGGTTATTTTTGTCCTGGTGAGCAAAAAAATACAAATGGCTTTAATAGTGAGTTTATCTTACTAAGTTATAGATTTACAGTGGGTATACACATGTACAATGAGTGTACCACTTAAAATAATGTGTGAATAACCTACCAAATCCAGGAACACTTTTGAGACTGGCTTTGAGACAAATTTTCTCCAATCGGAGGTAGCTGTATCTAATCAAACAATTCCACAGGAACATCCAGTCCATTCTCGTCCGGTGGTTCATGATAATAACACTTCTTTCTCCAGGTACAAATGCATCACCTGTTATAACCACTTTTACACCAAACATGGTCTCCAACAATGCCTAAAAAAAAAGAAATACTGATATGTATACCAATTTAAAATTGTAATTTTTCCATAGGTAAGTTTTATCATGTCCAATAAGTATATCTTATGATTTATTAAAGTGTTTTTCATGATGTTTTATTCTATAATAAATAGGTGGGGACGGAACTGGGGATAGGGTTTAAATCTAGAAGAATGAAAATATAAAGTCCTATTTCTAAGTGCTACGCATTTAAATTTCTAGCAGTTTCCTAGTTTTAAAAAAAAAAAAAGGTAACTGTCCTTGAAATCTTCAAGATATAGATTAAGCTAAAAAAAAAAAAATCCAAAAAATGACAGATTCCATTGTGTAATTTCTTAAGGATATATAAGATTATTACATATTTCTTCCTAGGAAGGACAGTCAACAAATCTTAACACTGGATATAGAGCTGAAGAAACAGAAAATTAAACTTTTCATTTTAAACTTTTCTGCACAATGACCTTTTATTAATCAGAAATACATCTGTTTAATTTTCACAATACATAAAGAATAAAGTAATTATGTCTAAAAAATGCTACAGCCCTAGTACCTGCAATAGTTCCTGGCATACAGTAGACACTCAAATATTTGCTAAAATTGTTCAATTCACTTTTTAAATGGCCATAAATAAAATACATATGAAATATTTAAAAGAAAAACATATTACAGATGAGTTATTTCAAGTAAATAACAGATAATAAGAAAAAATATTATTGATTTTAATCTTTTTTTCGCTTTTTTGAGATGGAGGTCTCACTATGTTGTCTAGGTTTATCTCTAAATCCTGGGCTCAAGTGATCCTGCCACCCTAGCCTCCCCAGTAGCTAGGAGTACTGATGTGTGCCACCATGTCCAGCTCAATCTCTTATTAAAATTTTGAATTATTTATGTTACAAATGTAAATAATGTTAGAAATCTGAGAAAGTTTTTCCAACGCAGACAAAAGGTAAAATCAAAAGTTCACATAGGCAGATATCACAATGACCTTTTCAAAGTACACCAAGTAAGCAAACTAAGGTATAGGTAAGCAATGGAAAACAATTTAATAAAAAAATAAATGAAGATGGATGCATTGGTGAGCACCTGTAATCCTGGCTACTTGTGAGGCAGAGGCAGAAAAATCATAAGTTCAGGCCAGCCTGGGTAACTTAGCAAGACTCTGTCTCATTAAAATTAAACAAAATAAAACCAGGCTAGGAATGCAGTTCAGTGGTAGAGACCTTGCCTAGAAAGAAAAAAAAAGAAAGAAAGACAATAAACATGGAAGACACAAATATGTTGAAGGAAGCAAAACAAAAAAAAAATCATATATAATAAATATCTATTTATAAGACTTCCTTAAAAAGTAGGATATTTTAGAGAAAAATATATAGACAATAAAAATTACAAAGAACAATAAGGAAACAACTATTTCAAAAGTCATTTTAGTGGCTACTTCTACCCAAAAAGAAAGGCATTTTAACGAGGAGCCCAGGTAATCTGCTGGTGGGCAGGCAACATACTCTAATACTTGACCTGGTTTATAGTTACAATTAAAATTTTTTAACATTAACATGTGCAATTGTGTTTTATTAACTTTCCAGTATGTTTGTAATATTCCACAATAAAAAATACTTTGTGATACAACAAAATAAGACTTCAAAAGAGAAGGAACAGGATCAAGGCAGGGGGAAGGTAAAAATAATATTAGCTAAAAAAAATACTAAAAAAAATAAGAAGTTAGAAATGTTTTACATCCCTATGGTTCCAAGAGTCAGAATGTCAACATCATGACAGAGGAAAACAAGATCATTTGGTTTAAACCTAACTCTGGATATCCTACAGGAGCCTGGTTAAGTTACTGTCCCAGGGCTGAGATTCACTCTAGGGAACAGATATTTAAATTGCACCTATCATTTCCTAGAAGGGCAGCCTCCAACAGGTCAATACACACACAACCTTCTTGAAGTTGTGTACAAAGATATGTGAGTATGTACACAGGTACCTTGCTATTTGAATGCCTGCTATTTTCATCAAACTCCAAGTATCTATAATGACTCAAATAATTATCACCTTTACTCCAGAAAGTCTCCAGGAAGTTAAGTCACTATATGGAAGACTTCATGATGAAGAAGAACATGGCAGGGTCCGCCAGACTTGGGCCCACAGCAAGAAATTTTTTTTTCTACTTGTGAATGCAAAGGGTCATCAACTTCTAAAACACATCACTGAACTGCAGGTCTGGGCCCACACTGTTTTGTGTGAAGTCATTATGCAAGGTTAATTTGGCCTAATTCTACTCTACTTCCCAAATATGATATACTTTTCAGTATTTCCAAAGAATTGAAATGCAAAAGGTCCTTTACTTAATTGGTAGAAAGAGGAAGTATAAATTCTGTGTTGCACTATTGAAAAGAACTAAATATCTTAAGTCTATACACCCCAAATTCAACTCTAACCCCTTATGCACAATTTCTAACATAAGCCTCTCATGGATCCCAAACAATCTTCCTTTCATTATGAAAAATGTCAAAATAAAAAACCCAAGACTATTTATAGAGGAGTGTCTCATATGGCATTCTCTTACTTGACACACAGCACTCTATCAGAATATGACTGAAAGTTATATATAGCCTTTTATGAAGCTTGGCTCTCAAGCTCACATTAATCATTTTTATTACTAGACAAGACATATCTAGTCAGTATTATTTACAGCTCCTGCAAAAGCAGAAAACAAATATACTACACAGTATTAAAGTTGTAATGTTTGTAAAGAACTCCAGAATTCAAACAATCCAGATTAAAAGACTGGAAAAGAAGACAATAACCTCAAATTTTCTTGTGGTTGTTTTATTTCTAATGAGGAAGAAAACAATTTCAGCAGTAAGAAACTAGTATCAATCTTTCAAATTTTTATAATGTTTTATTTATTAGGAATAACAAGTCTCATAACTTTTGCCTAAAAGATTGCAAGACTTCTCCTAGCATTACATATATAGAAGCAATTTCTGAGGACCTTTTATGTAGCACTACTTACTACTTCCAAATGTATGTAAACACAAAGATGCAAATACCTCTCATAATCAGAAGAATACGTTTTGCCATTATGATCCTTGCTGTCATTTATCATTCCAATGGTTCTTTAATCTGAGATAAGAACAATTCCACAGAGCTACACTTCTCTCCAAGTTTGCTTTGGCTTTTCAGACTCAGCTAAGGCCCAGCTAGCTGAATCCCTAGCTATTTAAGATCTTGGAATCCCAAATGTGAAGTAGTCACTTTCTTAACAGTGTAGACATAAATCATATTCAACAACCTGTTTTTATTGAACATTTGTTCTTTCTAGCAATGGAATTCTATCAGCAGGCTGTGAAGAGACCTGTGTCCTGCAGAAAGTTAGGAAATGACCTCTAAATTCCTTATTCATAATTTATGATTAAAAAACTGAATGAACCCCAAGTGATTTTCATAGTCCTCATACTTAGCTAACAATCAAACTGTTGTTAAGACACAGAATTTTCAGAAGTAAAAAATTCTCTGGGCACAAGCAGAATTTGACCCTGATAATATTGAGTATGTTAAGCAGAACTGTTCAAAAATGAAATAAGCAAAAACATGTATTCTCCACTATAGAAATGTTCAAAGAAAGACTAAATATTCACTATGTAGACTGACCTAGAGGGGACTCTAATAGACAAAGGTAGGTTATACTAGGTGACCTCTAAATCATCTAACTCTAAGATTCTAGAGGGTTTTATTGTTATACCTCATTTAATACAGAAAATGTGCTCCTTAGAAACAGAAGGAAAAAATCTTACCAACAAAATTATTTTAACATATAATGGAAGCTTATAAAAGAGAAGATCATTTTGGAATTTTTTCTGTGAAGCAATAAGTACATTTATTTTATTTTTAATGGAAAATTATTTTTAAATGTTTGGAATTGTTTTAAGAAAACATACCTGTGTGGGAGAAAAAAAACTGCATTTTATGTTAAATTCATTCTGAGTTAAAAAAATGTGCTTAAAAGAAAAACTCCTTTAGCACCTTGTAAAAGTATGAAATAAAAGGTGATAAAAGACATAGTTGTCAGTTTTTCTCCATTTTTTCAAGAGATGTTCACTAATTTTAAACTGTTACATCAATTAGTCTGTACCATAGCTCTAGGGGATTTGACTTCCATAAATTTCTTAACTAAAAGATTCTCTCTGCCTGATATGCTATGACTGACTAATCAAGTAAAAAGTTGGGTAATATAAGTTTTTCAAATACATACCAATGTTTCCCCCTAGTACTAGGGATTGAACCCACGGTCACTTTACCACTGAGCCATATCCCCAGCCCTTTTTATATTTTATTTTGAGACAGGGTCTTAATTGTGTCAGGCCTCGCTAAATTGCTGAGGCTGGCCTCAAAACTGTGATTCTCCTGGCTCAGGGTCCATATTCACTGGGTTTAGAGGCATGTGCCACCGTGCCCAGCAAAATATGTACCAATTTAATAGTATAGTGATAGTGAATGCTACCTATGTGTCAAGTTCTCAACTCAGCTGATAAGACAAAAGTCAGGAATAGCTCAATATATCATCAAAAATCTCTTTAGAAAGGTGCCTCATAAGAACTCAGCATACTATATAGTTCAGTCCAGCTCAGCTATTATCTTCCCAGTTGAATCAGTCTACTATTTCTCCAGCTGACCATCAGATGAAGTGATGATTTACAGGCTGCTGTAAACATGTCTACATTTAACTGGGCATGGTGGATCATTCCTATAATTCCAGAAACTTGGGGGACTAAGGGAGGAAGATCTCAAAGTTAAAAAATAAAGGCAACCACGGATATAGCTCAATAGCAGTACCTTGAGTTCAATCCCCAATACATCATCATCATCATCATCATCTTCTTCATAATAACAAATCTATCTTTAAACATAAGAATAATACTCAACCAACAACTACTCATATGTCCCATGTCATCTCCCTTGAAATAGGGAATATTTCCTCTCTTCTTATTTGCTTT